TCTAGACTTGCTGTATTTGAAAAGTGTCCTGAGATAACTTTTGTTATGATTTATACAAATAAAAGTGAATTGAATTGAAAAAAAAAAGTAAACTGATTAGGTGACTTATGTATATGTATATTAAGTGATATTATGTTTGTTTCATATTATATTCAGTTCATACCAATAACAGTAGAGAACAGCTGATAAATCATGGTGAATACAAACAGTGAACTTAATAACTGCAGGAAGTTTGTGTGATGAATTCTGAGCAGATTATTTCCTGTGAATATTGATCAGAAATTAGTTTTCTTTTTCCTTCCTAACCTTCTCAGTTTGGCTGCTGTGGAACGATGTTAGCACTTCCCCATGAAGCATTATCTGCAGTGTGTAAACATGGATAGAACCAATATATTGCATTGCTACAATAAAATCTAGCAGTACATTGACTTTCAAAAGCCATATGTAAAGCCTTCAGGGAAATCTTCATAATATAAAATATCAACCTTGACGAAAATAGAAAACATTTCCAACATACAGTTAACATCAAAGTCCTCAAAGAGATCTAAAGAGCCTGAATGTCTGACCCACCTTTGTCTCCATTCTTTCAGCAGTTTCCTGTAAAATCTTCCTTTAACAGGAACATTTTATGTGACTGTCAAACCTTTTGAGATGTGGTGAGATCTGACCTTCAAGATTCAGAAATACGCATGAATCTAGTCATCAGAGAATTAATTTGTCAAGTTATTAAAGGGATGCTGGCTTTTCACGTTAAAACCAGTCTGTGGGCGCTAGCGAGTAGGCGATGGAGTAGGCAGCACAAGCAACATGCTCTGCTGAATTTCGGGTTAAAAGCTCTTCTTAGGCACCTTATATCAACAAAAAACTACAACACATCGCTCTGAGTTAATTCTTTTTCATTATATGTTATTTTTATTGCGATACCGCAGCGCAAATGGCCAAACATTTGCGAAAATTCTATTTCACCGGAGGAGCCTCCGCAACTGGGCCCAAAGCCTCAAGCTCAAATGATTCACCATCCAGGTGTAGCACTAAGACACCTCAGCCTGATGACCAAATGGATGTCGCAGACCTGAAGGCAGAAATCCTCATGTCGTTGAAAACAGACATTTCTATGCTGCTCAGGTCGG